GGAAAAAATTATTTTAGAACTTCAAGCAAAAAAATAACGTGTTTTCTGTGAAGTTCAAGTAGATTTTTAAAAAGTGTTAGATCAAAGGATTATACTGTTTTGTTTTTGGAAGGCAAATAAATGGAAAAAGCCACTAAAAACAATAGATTATTGTAGTCTGCAAAAGAGATCCTTATGACAGCATTAATACTGTTGGGGCTTATTTATTCATAAAAGTCTTACAGATCTTACATTTTTATAACAAATTCTATAGTGACCCAGTCTCTGCTCTTCTGGGTCTTTAGAGAGGTAAGTATCAGAAGAGGCCTCAGGAGATGTTTCATCACCTAATTCTGGTCTGAATCATGCTTTGACCTCGCTCCAAGTCAAATCCATGCCTCCTGCAGCTCACAGTTTACTACTTGCCTCTCCCACACTTTTCTCTCTCATTTTACTGGCAGTTTCACAAAGTGGATATTGAACCTCAAATTCAAATATTTGTTACTAGGCTTCTTATGATTAACATCAACACCTCTCAAAATGCCTTAAAGCATTTGCCAATTAACCCAGCATACTATCAAATTATAGCAGTCTTCTGAAATAATTTTAGCATCTTCCAAAAAACATTTCTTCTCTCTTGCATACAAACTCAGTGATGAAACATTGCTCTTTTTTTCCACTTTTGACACTAAAAATGTAAGATACAAAGGGAAAAAAGATGTGAGAGATTAATTTATTCTCCTCATAAGCAAACACTACAATGAAAGGATTTTCATAACATCATTCAATTAATTTTCTTGGGGAAAAAAGTATATATTATGCAGTTCCCTTTAGAAATTTGCATCCAGAACAATGAAAATAATAATATTAATTGAAGTTTGAGATGGAAGAAACCTCCAAAGCATCTAATCCATTTGCTTATATTCATTCCACACTTATATGTCACAATCCATCATTCACAGAACTGAAGTGTGACCTCAAGGCTATTTTGCATACCCATTAGAAGTCCATGGGGCTGTAGCATAATCTGCTTAATTAATGAATTCCATCAGCTGAATGCCAAGTCAAATAAAGAACAGACTGAATATGAGCAGCATACTTATCAGAAACTAAAGTCCAGAAAGCTTAAGCAAGCCAGACTCTCAATCAGACATCTCAACTTAATTACACAGCATCAAGAAACCTTCAGTTCAAAGGCAGCAATTATATACCTTGTAATACTCTCAATATAAATACGTTTACAATCCAGCACCAAATTTACATCACAAAGGAATATAAGCTTGACAGCCAAATGTGGCAAATGGCTTCCTGATGTTAAAGTAATAAATGCTCCATCCAAAACAATGGCAGAAACAGTAACAATTCTAGCTTTATTCAGAAAGGTCAGCTTTAACACATCTGGACAGAATGGTACAGAGCCAACTCCTTTAATCTTTCTGTTGCCCTTTCAAAGTCGGCCAGGAGATTTTATTTTACATAAACTTAGTTCTCAAGGAGACAAGGTCTTTCTGATTCTCCACTCATTTTTAGTGGCTGCGAATGGTAGTGGATGTATCATCTATATATTGATGTTCTAATGTTTCATAAATCATTAACAGCCAAGGGTATCCACACTGCTGCTCACCTCACACCCTAACACTATGCCCTCTTAATTGCTTGACTTGGTCATTCTGTTGGCAGTGTCAAAAGCTGCACTACTTCCTTGTCTTTTATGGATAGTTTTCCTGACACCAGGGCCTTAGTGTTGTATTGCTTGTCTGAAGTGGAAATAGCTATAAAAGCTCCTCTGACAAATACAAAACTAAGGTCTCGTGTAGCACTGTAATACTGAGAAATACCCCTACTCATCCAACATTGTCACTTGCAGTTAACATCTTTGCAATAAATTTCTCTCACACATACATTCTAATGTGACAGATATTGAGCAAGATCAGAAGATCAGAGACTTCAAGAACTCCAAAAGGAATCTGGATCATATTTCTTTACTTCGTCTTTCATGCTGAAAATAATCTCACCCCTTAAAGACAGATCATTAAAAATGTTATCATAGCTATTAGCAAATGATTCATTTTTCATTTTGTTAAAGAAGTTAATTGCCCACTCAACAATACGGCAGAGATACCTGGAGTTTGGTCTCCTGTTTGCCATCTCAGGGCTGCATATCTAATTTCAGAAAGCCAGTTGGCTTGCAGCAGGCACAGAACACTGTTGGGGTTGGGCACCTCTCAGAGAATTCCAACTTCTCTTGCACAATGTTAGATAAGATCACTGAGTGCCACTTCTTGACAAAACAAACATTTTGGTGGAAGCTGAAGTATTAATAAAGAAGCAGCCAACACGATAGCAGAGAGAAGTTTTTTTTTTTTTAAAAATCCTGCACTATGTAAAAGGTCCCAGATCACTATCATTTATAAAACGTGTTCAGTATAGTCAGAAAATCAGCTGTATTTTGGTTTGTATTCATTGACAGGCATTCCAAGAGAGTATTCTCCTTTCAAAAAGGAAGGATATGGTTTTACTCAATTTCTGATTCTGATACTTGTACCAAGCAGCTAGGGAAGATGTAAGTACATATACATGTACATAAAATACACTCTAAAACAGTGAAATTAGAAGCTACTTGAATGTTCTAAATTCCAATGCCATGTTAGCAATAAAAAACAGATTTCTCATACCTATTTCTTCCCATTTTTCTCTTAAAAATGATATATACATTTTTGTATGCATACTAGTACGTATTGTAGACAAAAGTGTATATATACAGAATATTGTATTTTTCCTGTTTGGAGGAGAAAAAAAAAGTAAATTTTCCTCTGTTTAGATCTTCATGTAAAATGTAGGCAGATAGATAGGGTAGCCTGAATATAATTTAGAAGCCCCTAAATCTGTTTCCTATGAATAGGCAAACACACAGATGGCCTAAAACTGATGATGGTTTCAAACTTTCATAGGGTCACCCCAACCACCACAGCCACAGCCTGAGTCAGCAATAATGGTTGCTGTTCAATTACTCACACCAGAATAGTATTACAACACTGAATACAACTGAAGACAGCATTGCAAGCCTTGCAAATTTCAGGACACCTGCTAATAACAAGAGTGGTTTCTTTTACACAGCCAAATATCTGAAAAACAAAGCAACATATTACAGCTTTCTTCAGAGAAAGATCGGATTTGTTGATCGTTTTCTGCTAGCCTTTGTGCCCACGACTGACTGTATCTACTTAGCAAGCCTCTTTAATAAAGCTTCCTACCACCTTTACAAGTATGAGGTGAAGCTATACTTAATAATTAGCTTTGGATATTCTTTCACGTCACTTCAGCATATTTTAGCAAGATTCCTACTGTGTAATATTACTACTGTGTTTGGTTTTTAATAGACTTAAGTAAGAAAATGATGCAGGACAGATATGAAAATTGGTTCATTTTTTTAAATGGAACTGCCGTACACTACTAATCACAAACTAAAAGTGTACAGTAATCCATCTGCTCCTTCACAGATAGTATTTTGTTAAAAGCTCACTGAGGAAAAGCTGAAAGGACAGAGTACTTCAGGTATAAAAGATAAAACCATAAATGCTACTGATGACAGCAAGCTACTAAAGTTTTAAGGAACACAGCCAATAAATCTATCAAAACAAGCAACATGCATTTGATATATCTGAGTCCCAAATGCGCTCTCGGTGTGCCGTTAACAATTTCAGCATGACAGAGTAAAGCCAATACTGAATAATTCTACACCAGAAAAGCAAGAACATTATTTCTTTAAAGAAAGAGGGGCTTCCATGCTATTCTGGAAAAAGGTATTTATGGTATATCTATAATGCTTTCTACACCAGCAGATCGGGAGACCTATTACCCGTCTTTTCCTGAGCAACGTATGCAGGTACACAAAGCAGATGCAGTCCCTGGTCCCTGAAATCTCCACACCTGACACTGCTGAGCAGGCAGCAGTATAAAGGTGCAGATTTGCCTGGCAGTTTTGATAACACATCTGATACAGTTAAAAGAAAAATATCAAGAAAAAGTAAGAATTCAGTAAGTTCACTGGAAAGTCCTCAGTTGGAAAAAAAAAAAACCCACAATACCACAGATCCTACTTAAAAGCAGAAAAAACGCATGTAATCAAGAAAGCTAGGACAAAGGTTGGTGATTTTCATCATCAATGTTTATTTCTACTGCTCTACTCTGTACTTCATCTTTATCAATGAGTAAACTCTAAATAAGAAAGAAAGGTTCTTCCACAAGGAAGAGAAGCGATTCAGACCAGATCTACAGCTCAAACTGGTTCAGGTATGAAGGTAAGCATCAGCAAGCTTCAAAGACACAATGCTAGACAGAAGCACACTATATTGAAACAGAAATGTAAATGACATCTTAATGGCAGTCAGACATAAATAACTTAAATGTGACAGTTTCAAACAGCAAGGGGTAACCACGGGAAAAGGCTAGTTTTTAAGTAACAAACAGTGCACTTTGTTTAACTTGTATTTTAACAGTTAAATGTACAACCTCCTTTTCTTTTCCTGAACTCTGACTCAAATCATTCATCTAAGGGAACTCTGATAATCTGTATTTCTGAAAAGTAAAGAAAGAATAGTAATATAAAAGACCAATATTTTTGCTATGGTAGTGATCAACTGAGATCTTTTCGTATTCACAAAAGGAAGTATGCTTAGCTGAAATGGAGGAGGCATTCTCAAACACTGCACTTATATTTTGAAAATGTGTAGAAGCTTATCAAAGAGGAATGGTAACCTAAATATTCAATTAAATAGCTTTTGCTTTTTAAAGAAATACCAGTAATTTCTTCTGTCTGAACTGGTAACAGGTAATAGCTCCCGTTTCAAAGGAAATATTGCACATCACTGATATAGGGGTGGGTTTTTTTAATCCATGACAATGCACAAAGATCAGAAGTCACAATGTACCTCAAGCTGCACAGATTGTTTCCTGAAGAGGAATAAAATAATTATCAAGCACAACACGCACTTAGTAATGATAAAAGCCAAAAATCTTACCTGCTAGGCAGCAACATACAGTCAATATCAGGTCTCTTTGTCTTGGGAATGGCATACAGAGGGTACCTATCGCCATGTCGAATCAACACTTGAACTGACACTAGCTTAAAATAATGAGGTGCATGACCTAAAGTGAAGGAGAGAAAAAAAAAAAAACCACAAATAGGAAAAAAATAAACGTAAAGAGTCAAGTAAATGTTGTCTAAATCTTTCCCCTGCACATGTTTTCTTTAAGAAAAAAGGCAGGTATAATAAGCTTGATAGCTTTGGTATTGCAATGAAAGAAAAACCCCATAAGAAACGATAACTTACTGTCCCAAGAAAGATTTCACTTTAAATTGCAAGACAACTTGCACAAGACTCAGGTGCTTCGATATACTATGGAAAACGTGTTGAAGTCCAACAACCACACAAGACATTATTCAAGCACTGAACTTTGCCAACGCAATAAGGTTACCCCGCTTCTACAATGTCTCTCTTCCAGACCCCCATCATAATGACAGATTTTGCACCATGCCTAATTTGGGCTTTTTGATATACTAGTTTGTGGTTTATTTTATATGCATTGGTGGGATATGCTAATGAGGGAATTCATTCAGACTAACTTGCTGCTGCAGCCACTATAGGATGAATAACACTAATGTGCCTTCTAGCTGACTATCTCTAATGGTTTGGAGTTCCGAAATTAATTACTTCTGTGGTTTTTTTTTTTCAGAATTCCAAGTCAACTGTTTTTCAGATGTTAATAATAGCTTGCAATGCAGCTCACTTGTAATAAGAGTTACAATTCAAACATTAAATATCTATCTCGCTTCCAACCCTTTCAATTTTAGACCTTCAGTTGACCACTGACTGGAAATAGAACCACTTCCAAAAATCAAGACAACAGAGAGGATATAAAGGGAAGGAAAGAAGAACAGCATATTTTGAATTATTTAACGTAATTCAACAACCAGCTGGCATTTGCTGCACCTTCTCCAAGCACCATTAAGTGACAATGCACAAAGATATCGTTTCCAACAGCAACATGTAGAAAGAAGCAACTAAACTGTCGTTTGCATTCACAAAGCTTACCTTCCATGCTGCGTTCAGCAATGGTGGGAATATTGCAGTAAACACGGGCTTCATAAACAGGATCTATTGCAGGAGGCTCAGTCAGCAAATCAGGCATTATTCTCTTTCGGCTCTTAGGATTCAACCCATCTTCCCTGATGGGGTGTACTGGGATTAAATGCACTGAAAGATACAAAACATACACCATATACCTTTAAGAGGGTTTAAAGACATATAGGACTATGACCTTTTTTTTAAGTAATTCTGCACAAAGACTGTGGTTTCCATGAAAGGATGCCACTCTACAGTACACATCTTTGCGGTGAATTTTTCAATATTTACATAGTCAAGAAGGGAAGCCCAGAGAGCTCTTTAGCAAAATCAGCACCTGGCTAAGACTTCAGAAATACATCTGGACGTAGAACAAGTCTGCCTTTTGCACTCTTTTGAAGTTGTTTTTCCTGTCAGTCTCTCAGGAAGCTTTAAGAGAATGAATAGGAAGAAAAGGATCATCGCAGGCCCAGCTGTCCCTCATCGTTTTAACTTAAAAACTGATGTTGAAAGACATCAGTAAAAGACAGCACAGTTACGATGATGATACTACAAACTGTTGGGAAAACAAAGTAATCAAGACTGAAGGGGCTGGACTGTCCATTATTTTCCTTACATGACTACCTTGCAGCCTTAAATAGTCTTGACTTAGCTAAAGAAAACACACAAAATGTATTAGTTGAAATTTAAATGAGGCTACCATAAAAAAACGTTAAATACAAAAAAATGCAGTTAACGCTTGCAGACAGCAGGGAAATTAAGAGAAATACCACCAAGTCTTCCGACACGTAGAAGCGCGCTGAAGCAGATCTGAATTTAAGGCCGGCGTTGTACTGACAATATCTTTTTACCTTGTCTTGATGTGAAAGCACTAATTAATTTATGAGCCTTACAAGACTACACTTGTAATAACGAATGCCCAATTTTATTTTTTTTTTGCTACTGGAATTTTCTGGTATTTGAACAGGGGCAGATTTAGAGGTGACAATGAGGAGGAAAAGTGTTCATATTTTTACCCCTAATAGTATTCTGTGGTGAGAGGGGAAAAAAAAGAAAAAAAAATAAAGGAAAGATGAGATAAATTTCGAAGCAGAATTTTACTAATTCTTCTGGATCATTTCCTCAGTTGCATCTTCATTCCCAATCTTAATTTTAAAGGTGAATTTGTTCCACGATACAGAGCTATGAAGACAGCAAACTGAAGTGAAACACAAAGATTTCAAGAGCCACAGCTGTTAATATAACACAGACTCTTCATTCTTAAACTATAATACACTATTCTTACGTGGTTTCTCTTTGCCTGCCAAAACCACAATTCAAGCATTTTCCATACCCTTGCTAGTGCTGGTGACACAGCTAATACCCACAAAGTGCAGTGACTTTAAACTTTCCCTTAAGCTGTTTCAGATTTTCGCGTGTGCCTGCCCACAGGACTGTGCTTGGTGAGAATATTAAACTCTAATTTTGACTTTGGCCATTTAAACTGCAGGGCTCAGCTGCCATTTCAGACTCATTTTTTAGAATCAGAGAATATCTCAAGTTGGAAGGGACCCATAAGGATCATCAAGTTCAACTCCCTGCTCCTCACAGGACTACTTATGACTAAGAGTGTTGTTCAGACATTCCTTTTAGCTCTTTCCATGCTAAGACATTATTGAGAGGCATTGCAAACCATTGACAAGAAACTGTAGCAGTAACACAGAGCCATGGCAGTATCTATTAGAGGTTGGTAAGTCTGGCTCGAAGGGGGCTTGCAGCAAATTTGTATTTGGTATATAAGTCCCAAAGCTAAGAATGTGTTACAATGGTTGCTGGCCTCCGCAAAGAAACAGCATTACAAGACAAAAGTTGCCTAAAGAGTATAAATGGGAAATTACAGCAGTTATATCGGTCAGGTTTCCTAGCCAGAAAAGGTTAGGAGCAACAGCTTTCAGCTTTCTGTTAACAATTTTCTCTAGAGCAACCCACAGCATTGCCACTGCTCACTTAATGTCACAAAAAACGTACAGAGTTATCTTAACGACTCAGGGAAGTAAACTCAATTCAGCTTTGACCCATGAACATTTTGAAGATAGGGGCAACTATACCCCAATAGCTACAAACTCTGGTGCTAAAATTCAGTTAAGAAATTTAAAAGTGAAGTAAGGAACCTGATTTTTGACCTAAAACAGTTTTAATTGCAAAAAAACCTGAACAGATTCCATTTTTGTATGGAGACTACTAACTACAGCACTGAACAGATGCATACATTACCTTCTTAAGATCGACTGCCTATGATTCATGGGGCCACATATTTACAGACAGCAAGTCTCATTTCTAACCAAAGTAGTTGAAGAAATACCTTAACACTGCCAGACAAATTTAAGAACAAGGAAAATCACTAAATCTGGACGAGAAGAATCTACTCTATTTAAAGCATTTAAAATAAAATTAAATATTAAAAATAGCATGTAGAGGATTCTCAAATGACATGTTTACAAAAGTCACTGGCAAAACACCCTTAAAGGAAGGTTTTAAGTCAGCGCAACAGTTACGGATGCAACATAAGATTATCTCGTGGACTGGAAACTGACTCTGAGATTAGGAATAACAATGGTTCATGTCATTAATTTAAAAAAGTTTACTAAAAACTATCTTAAATTTCTAAATGTTACAAATTACATTTATTATTTACGTAGTAAGAGTTGATAAATATTGCCCTTATTGTATAGTGAAAAAGCTTGGCTTATGCCAAGGAAGAAGGGACCCAGCATTTCCCCACTGAACAGCTACCACTCTGTCCACTTCCAGGTATCTCAGATAGGGATTGGGCTAAAGGACCTTCTAATTTTGAACCCATCTGGGACATAACCATGTTGTCTGGATTTCTGAACATATTTGCACAACCTAATCTAGTGAAAAATGTCCTTGCCCATGGCAGGGGAATTGCACTAAATGATCTTTAAAAGGCCTTTTCCAGCCCAAACCATTCTATGATTCAACTGAAATTATTCAAATTGGTTTTAAGTTTGCAAAAAAAAAAAAAAACAACAACAACAAAAAAAACACAAAAACAAGAAGGTCAAAAATCTCCAGTCACCTAAGTAAACACTGTCATGAGTAGTATTTCCTTTTAACACACCTGAAATAACACATATTGGGGAAAAAACAAACCAACCACCAAACTACTTCTGCAAATACCTGGGTCTTCTAACTATGTTAAATAGAAAAAGAAAAAAAAACATATGATCTGGGCACCAGTCTACACAGTACACTGGAAATTTCCACTGAATGAAAACATATAAAAATAGCATGTATTTCAGAAGGGGGCGGAAACAAGACCAAAGACAGATGAATTCCAGTTGGAAAGCTGCCTTCTGTTTGCTGAGCCTTATCAGCACAGGGAACCTGAAGAGCCAATCCAGCAAGGCTGGTCTTTGTCTCCTCTTGTTAAAACTCCTCACAAGCTGTAAAAATCCTGCAGTTTCCATGCTTTGGGATGAGGACCCCAAGTGACGCAGCCTCTCCTCATACTTCTGCCTGGTCCAAATAGCGACAGAGTTATTTTCCTTACTGACAGCTAAAGTCTCAGTTGTCTCTCAACTGTTTTCTCATCTTCTGCCATTCCCTGGACATTGTTAGTGCCTCACGTATTTATGATGTTTTCTCCTTTCCTTTTCAAGTACCTGGGCTTCAGGCTCCCTCGCTGTCTTCATTTATCTTGATTCCTTGCTGCTGAGCCCTTCTTTGCATGCCTCATCCTCTTTAGCTCCCTATTGCATAGGGGGCTCAATTTGTTCCTCCATTTTGGTATGCCTTATGCCACATGGAGCCATTATTTAAAGCTCTTTGGAGAGCTGAATGTCCCTCTGTATCCAAGTGTTTAATTACTGAAAGTTCTCCTCCGCAGCGTCAATTCCACCTTTGTCTCCCAAGTGAGGTTTCTGGTCCACATGTAACCAGCAAACCTACAAATGGAATCGGACTGACACAGCTCAGAGGAGGAAAGGAGAGAGAGAAAGTCCCTCATACGGAGTTGAAATTAATCTTTTTATCCAAACTCTGTTCTGCTCTTTCCATTGTAAATCATTATAAGATCAGAATTCTATTACATAGTCTTCACACAACTTTTTATAGCTTAGCATTATTTTATATGACTTGTTCTACTAGTTCCCAGTAACATGCATTTGCCCAGAACAGAAGTCTGCCAACATGTATACAATCATCCTTAAATCGTTGATTAAGGGAGTTTTTGAACAGGAATTTTACACTACTGTGCCTTTCAAAGCTCATGTTTTACTATGACAGGAATACAACAATGTAAAACAGAAATGAAACAGATGATTTTGATGTTCATTTCCCACAGCCAGGGCAGTTGTTAAAATATCTTTGAAACATATTTGGTGATCTATCTAACTGGAAACTTTGCCAACACTGAAACTATAAAAAATACATACGATATTATTATAGAGGTAGTTTGACAACAAAAAGAGAAAGAAATCACATTTTATTTCCCAATATTCATAAACTTATTTTTAGAACTAAAGAAGCTACACAGAAACTACTTTGAAACATTAATTTTGAAAAAGTTGTATCTAGGAAAAAGAAGTAGGCTTACAGAAACAATAAAATGAAAGAGACCTCAATGCAACTCTGCTCAGTGTCCCACCAAGTTAAAATTGTTGCAATTGAAGTAAAACTAAACACATGGGCTGGTACCAGACAAAAGTAATACTTAACAGAACAGCCAAACAGCAAACACAGTTCTGTGAGAGACAGAAAGGCACTGGTCGCATGGTAAAATAGCTAAATATTGCCGTAGAATCCCTCCTTCGAGAATTTTTACAGCTCCAACTTGAAATATGATTTTGGCTTTTAAGTCAACAAAATTAAGATGAAATAAAATCCAAACTCTGATACTAAGTTAACGGAGTTACTAAACTTTTATGTAAGTTTGTCTTAAATTTTCACCATCTTTTAACTTATTACGAATGCGCAGCTTAATTAAACTAAAAACCTCCAGTAATTTTTATTTTAAATCAAACTATTTAGCCTACAGAATATGAAAACAAAATTTTAAAAGGAACTTAACAGCTTGACTAAGAAATATCTTTATGAACAAAACCAATGGCATCTGACATATGGTT